AAAAAGCATCGCAGCAAATTATTTCTGAATTTAAGAAGTTTATTTTTTATTAAAAGTATCAATTTGAATTATGATATACTATCCTTATTATTATGTAACTTCGAGAAAAAGGAAGGACAATGACAATTTTTAAAAAAAAACACAAAAATCCAAGATATTTAACTGCAAAGTAATTGTAAAGATACGAGGGAATAGAAATTGGGAAGGTAAAATAAATCAATAAGCATAAAATTACACCTGGCTAAATTGAATTAAAAAAGTATCAAATTCATAAAAGGTAGCTCACATCCTGTTCTCTCTCGTGCGATGCTAATTTTAAGTGTTTTCATTACAATATTGGTGTGTTTGTTCGTTTTTATCAGTGTGGTACCTTTGAACATGACTATTGAAGGGAAAAATGATCTGTGCATTCTCCTCCAGTACTGAAGATTGCAGTGCTGAACTCAAGCAGCATACAGGCAAACTCAATGTGACTTCTTAAGCAATTTACTGCGATCGTCCATGAAATGAATGAAGGAGTGGCTCCTGGAAGCTGCCCCACATGAAGGGCGCTACATAAATTCAAGTTTTGTTACTTAAATGTTTTATAGACATGGTAATCATTTTATCAATTTACAAACGGTGAAGCACTAACTGGGACCCATTAGGATTTAACTCAGAAATTTTCATCATCTCATATCCAGTACTCAACCAATTGTGAAAGAGATCGAGAGAGAGGAGAGAAGTGCGAACATATATTTATACCTAATACAACTAAAAAAGAGATTTTGTTAACAGTGCAGATAATTTGAGTGTGGGTGACAGAGATGGACTAAGAAAAAAAGGATCTGTTGAAATATATAATAGCGAGAATGGGATGGGGTCGGGGGTGTTCAAGCCCCACATCGGATCTTGAAATTCATACAGTCTATGCTAACACTCCAATGCAGTGCTGGATGTATGCTGCATTGGTGGGGTGCCATCCTTTGAATGAGGGGTCCTGTCTGCCTGTTCAGATGGATGTTAAAGATCCCAAACACTATGTGAAAAGAGAAGATAGTTTCTACTGGTGTCCTGACCAACAAGCCCCAAATACAATTTGTCATTCACCTGATGGCTTTATGTGGGACATTGCTGTGCGCAAAGTTACTTCACTTTACAGTAAATCCTGTGAAACGCTTTGAGGCACTGTATCAAATGTAAGGATTATTTCAATATCAGCAATTGGGAAAGTTCCTGGGAAAGCAGGCGGAATGGTCTGGGAAGTGTGGCGATATTACAGGAGTGCAAGGCTTCTTGTGGAAAGCACAGTTCAATTTGAGAAATGAAACTTCTCAGGCACATGTGAGAGTAATCATGTAACAGACAGCAGAGAGCATAACAACACAATCTGTTGAGTGGCTGACTTTAGAAACACATTGGTGGAGTTTGGCTGTTTGCGGCTTTTGACATGCTGTGCTTTCGGGCACCCATTAAACCATACCGAAGAAACTCTAATTTGCTTTATTAAGTGTAGTGTAATGTTTTTTAAACCCAGAATGTACCAATCCTGCAGGAGCAAAACTGGAAATTTACACACTACTTAAATGTTGGTGATTTTTTGATTAAAACAGACAAAGAGCAAAATATCAGGAGTTTGGTTTTCCATGGGATCTTGAAAGCTAAGATTGCTATTGCCAAATCATCTGTCAGTCAAATAAAGTGAAAAACAAGGGCGAAACCTTGTGCAACTGTCCTTACTCCATACGCCTCTTACCACCTAGCATTACATAGGAACCCGATGGTTAGTCGATCGCTTTCTGGGGGTAATAATCCGAACAAAAAAATCTGTTCACTCAATCCACGACATTGTTCGTGGGACACTGCTGTGCGCAATCGGCTGCCGCGTTTCACCCACAAAATAGTCACTCCACTTTACAGTATATTCTGTGAAGTGCTTTGAGACATCTCAATGATGTGATAAAGTGCTATGTCAAATCCAAGCATTATATTAGATTGCAGCACCAGCAACACTGAGCGGCAATGAGAGCAAGAAAAGCCTTCCCTGAATGCATCAATGTGCTGTGTGAGATGGACAGAGCTCCAAACACACCTACTCTATCCAACACACGATGCAGATAACCTTTCCAATGACTGGCAAATACAGTGACATTTCTCCCCACAACCAAACCGCCCTTCTATTGGTGAATATTGTAGTACAGTCACTCTCCCACCCCTTCCCTCCCAACCAAATGAAATCCTGGCTCCATAAATAAAACATTCCTTTTTTTCCCCATTAAAAATAAAGTTTCCCCCCTTACCAAACCATGACTTCCTTATCTCAGCTTTAACCCATCCTGCTGCCCTTGCAGAATGAGCTGGCGTTTTTTTTTGTCTGAGAGGTGATGTGTTACGCCACATATCCGCCTGTGGGAGAGCTGAGCGGACAGACAGGTCACTTCATTTATAACGAGAAAGGACAAAAGCAGGAGATAGACAGCCTGACTTGAAGGTTTAACCCCCGGGGCTTGTGCTCCCATCTGTGCTGCACCGCCGGGCCGGGCCGGGCTGAGCCGAGCCGGGCCGGGCCGAGCTGAGCCGAGCCAAGCCGGGCCGGGAAGGGCTGGGCTGAGCCGGGCCGAGCTGAGCCGGGCTGAGCCAGGCTGGGCTGGGCTGAGCCGAGCCGGGCCGGGCCGAGCTGAGCCGAGTCAAGCCGGGCCGGGAAGGGCTGGGCTGAGCCGGGCCGAGCCGAGCCGGGCTGAGCCAGGCTGGGCTGGGCTGAGCCGGGCCGGGCCGGGCTGAGCCGGGCTGAGCCAGGCTGGGCTGGGCTGAGCCGGGCTGGGCCGGGCTGAGCCGAGCACACACCAGCACCACAGATAAGGTGATGGTACAAAGACCATCGTAACAGCGCAGAACAACTGGAGATTGCGGATCACCCCGACAGTAACATGAACCCCTCGCAGGTGCACACGTCAAAGGGCCTCTCCCACATATTCTTCCCACCGATTGAAAGGGAAATCCATCAAAGTCGGACGCTGCCCCCCACACCCCCCACACCCCCCGGACTGTGTGCAGCTGTGAGCGAGTTGGTTGGAGCCTAAACGTTGCGTGTTTAAGGGGACGACGTTTAGCGTCCGAGAGGCGCGCACCTCACCCCCGGGACAGAGTTTGTGCTGAGTTGATGATCTGACTGCGGTGTCGGTGCAGTCCGGGGTCTGTTGGTGGGCACCAGGACCACGTCCCCTGACAGATAACGGGGTATCTCTGTCTCTCTGTCTGCAGCCGAGAGCTGTTTACATACCCCCCCGGGACTGGAGGGGGCAAATCACACGTATGTACGTGTGTGTATTTATCTGTACAGCCGCTGTGAACCATTCCGGAGCGCGAAATGTCACCAGAAGCCACGAGAAACGGCTCCTGGTTTCGGTTCGGCTGCACTCCGGCGCCCGCGTCCTTTGCGTGACCTTCTGTGATATCTTTTTAAGAAATATTATTTTCCCGCTCCCCCCCTCCTCCCTCCAGTCCCCCACTCCAGTCCCCCACTCCAGTCCAGTCCAGAGCGGTCAAAGTGTGTGGTTGGGCTTCGATCGTAACCGGTGCATCGTTGCCGGAGGGCCGAATGGTCGGGATATTTTATTTTCCGCCGTGGTTTTTCTGGTCCTGATGTGATGTGTGTTTTTTTTGTTGCAACAGAGGTGAGCGATGTGACTCCAAAGAGAGCGACGTGCGGATGGAGAGAGGGAGCGTGACTCAATCTCACAACCTTTTCTCCTCTCTCCCCCCTTCCAAAACAAAACTCACCTTTCGTCTCGCAAACCAGCAATAAATCCCAACTCAATACCCCCCCCAACCCCCCACCCCCCACCACCCCACCCCCCACCCCCGGTCGCTTTCCGACGGAGACCCGAGCAAAGCCGCCCCGAAACCGAGCGTAAAAAGGAGCATTTCTTTCCCCAAAGCAAAGCGCAATTTGGGGACGGTCCACAGGTGCCCGGACTCCCCGCTCCACACACACACACACACCCACACCACACACACACACAATAAAACTCTCACTCGAGTTTCCACTGGAAACCAGAACTTGCGACTGCTCCGTTCGGCAAAGTCACTTCCTTTCATCCACTTCCACACCAGAGACGCACAAAATGCGTCTCAGCTGCTGACTGAGGTCTCGTACTTTGCAATCACTGCTTTTAGCGACGATCGGGACCATTTATTTCCACATGTTAACAGAATGCACCAAAGTTAAACGCTGCCACTGCTGCTGCACCATCATCACACCACCACCACCACCACCACCTCAGTTCGGATTTACTCTCTGCAAATGTGCAGATGGCAGGAATTTTCCCTCGAGCCTTCCAATGATTTAATTTACAATTCTGCCTGAGCTAAACCAGTCAGCTCTCGTCTTTCGCTGATCACCTTTTTTTTCCCCCTTTAGAATTACAGTGAGTGTGTGTGTGTGTGTGTGTGAGAGAGAGAGCAAACAGTTTGTTTGATTCAGGTTAAAAAAAAACCAAATCAACTTTGTTGGTCTTTGGGACAAAATACCAATTCTTGGGATGAAACATATATATATATACATACACACACACACACACAGAGTGACCAACAAGTCGTGATACCATTACAGGGTCTAATAAGTCTTTTAAAAAATGATGATTTTTTGAAAGATAATTGTGATTATTATTATTAAGATAATAGGGGCAGTTATCACGACTTTATATATATGTGTACATACATATATATATATAAATTTGTAAGGGCCGCAATAAAGACTGATGTACAGCGGGATGCAAAGTTGATCAAGTGATTTCAAACAGGATTTGGTTTTGGTTTTCCCCCCGAAATAAAAATTCTCTCTTTTGATCTGAATTCGCGGATGAGCGGTTGTTGAATCGGTCATTCACCAACACAGAGACACAACAACACACACACACAACACACACACACACAACACACACCAACACACACACACACACAACCCTTTGCACCGTTTCCAGGTGTCGAAATGCACTCGCTGTTCGGGGTCGACCACTCACCGAAAATCGCTGTAAGGGTGAATAATCCAATAGCCGGCGGTTTTGACCCGTTCCTGCTCCTTCTCCACCCCCTTCTGGCTGCCGAACATCCGCAGAGAAAACTTATTGACCCCGGGCTGGAGCAGCGCTCTGAAGTGCCTCTGCATGTAGCTGTACTGGCGAGGCATGTCCTCGCCTTCCTCCCCGAACATCATCGCAGCGTCGCCTCCTTCCACCTTAAAGCCAACCGAGTTCTGCTCTTTCCCACTCTCCTGCTGCTGCTGCTGCTGCTGCTGTTTAATCTGCCCCGACTCATCCCCTCCCGTGTTCCTCCTTTTCCTGCCAGAGACCATGTTGCCCAGCGCTGTCGGCTGCTCCCTGTTACAGCCCTGTCTGGGTTTCCCTTCCATCACAGCAGGCGGTGGCTGCTGCTGCTGCTGCTGCTGGTGGTGCTGATGCTGCTGCTGGTGATGGTGATGGTGTCCCGGCGGCTGCTGCTGCTGCTGCTGCGGCTGGTGCTGCTGCTGTAGTGAGTGCACACTGCCTTGCGCTCTGTAATCTCCGTTCGTGTTACATTTGGCCGTGTCCTTGCTGGGATCGGCTTCCCTGCTGCTGCTGCTGCTGCTGATGCTGCAACAGGACTCTTCGACTTTGTTGTGGTCGGATCCGGTTTCTGCTGCTCCCCCTCCTGGCAGCACATTCATCTTGATGCTCTGATTCTTACCCCTGTCAGCCTGCTCCCCCATCCTCCCCTTTTGGTGTTTTAGAGGGGGAGGGAGGTTATTATTGCAACCTGACGTTATTATTTTTTTTATTATTATTATTATTATTATTATCCCAACCTCCTCTCTTATTTTTTTTTACTGCTCGCTGCAGCTTACCTTACTCTGTGCCAACCATCAATCCAAACCCTGTCAAGATTGCGGGCACCACGGATGGCTTGAACCTCCAAGAACGTGACTTTGCCACTTAGCATGGAATCAACGTGACTTTGTGCTGATACCTTTCAGCTTAAAGGGACAGGATCTCTCTCTCCCTCTCTCTCTCTCACACACACACACGCATTAACATGCGCAAACACGTTCAATTACTCGGTGCACTTTGATGCACATCAACAAGGTCATTGGTCATTTTCAATCTACGACTGTTTGTGGGACATTGCTGTGCGCAATTGGCTGCCGCGTTCGCCCACAAATATACAGTCAATTCACTTTACAGTGTATTCTGTGAAGCGCTTTGGGACGTCCTCCCGACGTGAAAAGCACTATATCAAATGCAGGGATTATTATTATTATTATTATTAAGGACAGCATCAATCGGTCGATTCAGACACCCTGCCTACCTGCCTGACTACCTTACCCACTTAACTCACCCTCAACGTGTTATTTCCTTCTGCGAAAAGGAGGCAAAACATTTGCAAACAGTATTGTTTTTTTATCGTCTTTAATTTTCGAAAGAGGCATTCATTTAAATAAAACAAAAACGCTCTCATCTTAGTCTGTCGACCCCACCCACACCCCAAAAGAAATCCGTTGGATGCATCAACAAAATAGTTGTCAATGGCAAAATAAAATGTCTAGTGAAGGCATTTAACTTGAGGATTGCTTCTTGCAAACCGCCAGAAGGATCGGACGAGGAAAGGTGTTGATGAAAGGCAAATAGCACTAAAAAGTTACCAGTCCCTTGTGTTATATATTAGGCGAAAGCGTCTGATCGTGTCTTCTGCGCTGAAAATGCGTACAATTGTACCTTTCAACTTCTCAGCAGCTGACAAGAAAGATAGCTTCTATTTCCAGCGGTGTGACTGGGCATGTGAATACTATATTAGCAACAAAGGTGAAACAAGAAGTAACACAAGCTCTGTGGTGAGCCTCCCCCACTCCCTGCTTCCGTTCCATCATGATAGCCTAAGAAAAGGAAGCTAGTCGGATCCCCTGGGACTAGCAATTCTTTGGAAATGACCTGTAGTTCCCCAGTGAATTACTAAAATTTGATCTGTTGACTCTGAATTTGTAGCTTCAATCCTTGAGCATTCTCATGTACAGGAGTTTCCAAATATTCTTCAAAGAGATGATGGTCGTTCTAAAGAAAGCCAATGGAAGCATCTAACTGCTCATCATGTCAACAATATTCCGCGGTGAGAACACAAATACAAAAATTACATTTGTATTGTGCCTTTCACTTCGGGAGGATGTGCCAAGGTGCTGGGCAGTCAAGGATTTGGACTCGAGTGGAGGTGTTGGGATCAGGGAGGGTGGAGGGTAGGGAAGATAGGGATAGGAGGGTGGCCAAAGGTGAGGTCGAAGAAGAGGGTCTTGAAATGTACCTTGAAGGAGGAAGGGAGGGAGCAATGTAGGCGTTCCAAAGAGTGGGGCCAGAGAGGCTGAACCACCATGGGTGGGCCGGGTGGGGGACGTGGTGCAGGCTGGAGCCTGCTAAGCAGAGGGAATAGTCAGGTTGATATGGGGTTAGCAGGTGATAGAGATATAAATGAGCAAGGCTGTGGAGGGCCTTGAAAGTGAGAATGAGTGTTTTGAACTCTATCCTCTGGGGGATGAAGGGCCAGTGGAGTCAAGTGAGGTTGGAGGTGATTGGGTCACGGAGCCTGCTGCAAGAGAGAACATGAGCTGCAGAGTTCTTGAGGAAAGAGTTGGGAAGGCCGACAAGCAGGGAGTTGTCATGATCGAGCCTAGATGTGATGAACGTGTGGATGAAGGTTTCGGCGGCCTGCTGTGTGAGATGGTGGCGGAGTTGGGCGATATTGCGGAGGTGGGGGAAGGCAGAGCGGGATATGGCACAGATGTGGGGTAGGAAAGACAATTGAGGGTCAAATAAGACACCAAGGATCCGAACTGGCTTAGTAAGCTGGGGTGTGCATCCATAGATGTTAATGCTGTCAGTGCCTGAGGTGTGGAGTGCTGACGGGAGCCAATCAGGAGAGCCTCGGTCTTGTTGATGTTCAACTGGAGAAAGTTTGCTCTCATCCAGGATTTGATGTCTGAAAGACATTCTGTCAGGATAGCAGTGGTCCTGCAGTTGAGGGTGGAGGCATACATGTGGGAGTTGACCCCATGTCTGCGGATGATGTCTCAGGGAAGAGGGAAGATGAAGAGGAGAGGACCAAGGATAGAGCCCTGAGAAACACCGTATAAGACTGTCCGGGTGCTTGGAGGAGAAGCCTTTTGGAGACAAAGTGGAGACGGTGTGAGACGTAGGACCTGAACCACTGAAGGACAGAATGAATTAAAGTTCACCCCACCCCCAAAAGTTCAGAGGGTAAATGTACCATTGAATGTTAGCATTGCGCTATACAGGCCAGAAAGGCCCAGGTGCAAATGCTGGCCAGTGATGAATTTGATGATCCTTGGCCAGGAGAAAATGTATCAACGTCCTCATTTGCATCAATAAATATAAATAATAAATATTTATTAATAATAAAAAAATAATAAATAAATAAAGTGAGAATAATATCTGACTGTAGCTGTTGAATATGTATTTCTGTTCTCAACATGAAGGACAAATGCAATTCATTCATGGCTTTTTCTCTCATGAGTTCTGTGATGCTCACGTTTGTGGGATTAATTCTGTATTCAGAAAGCTGCATCTTTGCATCCAAGCAATACGCTATCAGCCTTTCAAATAGTCTGAAAAAACTGATTCCACATTTCAAATGTTATCAACAGGGTGTATTGCAAAACCAATCAAATCTATTGTAGCTCACCCACATTTACTAGGGTGGAAAAGATGTCAAATAATTGAATAGAACATTTTGTTTGATCTGTTATTATCTCTTTTCTGTCTCAATGAGGATATAACATTTCTGATGGAAATAGAGTTCTCCACAACAACAACAACTCGCATTTATATAGCGCCATTCACTCCATACTGTGTCTCGGAGTGCTTAAATGGATATAATTAGTATCTACATTACTGAAACCTGAATGGTTGCATGCAATCTGAATTCCCATCATCCCACCAGGAGCAGAGCTGCAGGGTTCCATATAACATTTCATTCCACATAGATTTTGCAACCTTGAATCCCATTCTGAACCAAACACTGTGTTCCACATACCTATGACTGCTGAAAAAAAATCTTTTAAACTTCAACCTTGTTTCCAGATTTTCAACTGCCATGGTCCAGTTCCATAATATGTTTGAATTGAAGCAACAGCTTATTCAGAAATGTCTTGCCATAAAACCACATAAAAGAGAAAGAGTCTTACTGCAGCATAAAATCTGCACCTGTGCAAAGTTCAGTGATTGGTTTAATCTTATTTCTATCTAACAGCATTGAGGCACATAGAAGCAAATGTCATAGAGATATATACAATGCACATGGATGCAAGCGCTAACCTAACCTATTTGATGCTTGATTGACTATATGTAACTGTGTTAATACCACACGTGAGGTTTGGAATTGGGAGGATAAGACCAATGAATTGTACATGCTATGGAAGTATCCTTTCCTTGGACTGAAATGAGAGGGACAGTCGAACAAGCTAAAGGTAACACTTCGATTTTATATTACATGGGTCACCTCACTAAATGACTCAGAATCCTACCAGTAAAACTATAAGGATGTTTTTATCGAAAAAGTTGAAACTCCCAGCAAGATGTGCATTGCCAGAACAGTACAGAGACATCTACAGTTGTGCTTTAAAGCAGCTCACAGATCACAGGATAAAATAAAGTTGCATGAATCTATATAGTGTTCCCTATGCTATGTAGTTCAGAAAGTATTCACACTAGGATAGGGGATACATAACATGTGAACACAGCAGTAAGACTGGGAAACATTGAGAGAAATTGCTCAGATAATTGGAATAAAAGGCTATCTGGATTTAAATTAAATCACACGGATTGAATTGAAAGAAGCAAACGCTACAGGAGGGGGAACAAAACATACCGAATATGAAAATAATGACTGCGTATATGAGGTAGCAGAATGATAAGGCACAGCCAGAAATCACAAGATTACAAGATTGGTTCAGATGAAGAAGGCCCTTTGACTCATTTGATCAAACTCTTTCAAATACCCATCTCTCCCATCGCAAACATCAAGCTGTTTATAAATGAGTCTAGCATCCTGCCCTGAACCACCAGTGATCTGTTCCAGTCGTAAATTACCCTTAGAGAAAATAAATAGTTTCCGCTGTCTGTCCTGAAATTTTCTTTTGTAACACTAAATCTGTATCCTCTTGTTCTAGAGTCTTGTGCATCTGAAAGTATTCTACTGAAACCATATAAAGAATTAAATGCACCGACATGGAATCACTGTCCCTTTAGCTCCCTCGTGGAAATTCAATTAAAAGATTTCCTGTCAGAATAATGCGTTACAGAGTAATGTGTTATCAATTTATATTTTATTTAAGAAATAAATCAAACTAAGTCATCAAAATATGTAATCAT